CTCTCTCTCTCTCTCTCTCTCTCTCTCTCTCTCTCTCTCTCTCTCTCTCTCTCTCTCTCTCTCTCCCCACCCTCCCCCTCCCCCTCTCGCCCTCTCTCTCTCAGGGTCAATGTTTCAGTATGTGATAAGTTGCTCAACGATTGCATCAATTTAAATATTCAAACGACAATTTGAGTACGATGCCAAGTACGATGCGAACGGCGCTGCCTCTTCGTCTCGAACACAAAATTTGAAATGAACCGATATCTATCGCCGGTTTCTGTTTGCATTCTCTCGCAACGCGTGGCACGCCAACTTATCCACTTGTATCGATCCATTTAAATTGCGCCCTTCCGGCACGCTTGAACACATATATTTGATTGAAACATGCACATGTGTGCGTAGAAGAGAGAAGAGAGCGAAATGGAGCGGAGCTGGTATGAATTCCGGTACAAAGAAGGACTAGTGACTACGGAGTGCGTAATCACACCAACTAATGTTAAATTAACACGCACGAGGCACCTGGCACATTATCGCATATATACGCAGGCACGTGACATTCATTATCGCGATGCGGAAGAGCGGAAGACTCGTCCACGTGGCTCTCTTTTACCTACTCGACGCTCGTACCTCTCGTTAAATCCCCGTTAAACCACCTTGCTTAATTTTCATCCAACGTGATCCAAAGAGATCCAACGTAACGTAACCACCAGTAACCAGTTAACCACATCCACTACGCCACCAGCCAGTAGCCAGTGTAGCCACCACTCACGAGGCAGCTAAGTCAGCCACCGGCGGCATCATGGTGGAAATATATAAGGTGAAGCAATCTGATAGATGCGCAGTAGGAAAGTGCATATTCGGACATATTTGATTGGCTATTTCCAGTATTGCTACCGCCATTATGCGTATTGTTTCACCTTATATATTTCCACCATGGGCGGCACCAGCGGCACGACACAATACATACAGTAGGCCAGCCTGACCAGCTAGCAGCAGGGTATCAATCATGAAACTTTTTTTCTAGGATGAAAAGTGAAAAGTGAAAAATTTCTTCATTAACTTCAATGGTTAAAATTTTCACCATTTACTTTCCATCCTAGGGATAAAGTTCCATGATGGATACCCAGTGGTAGCCACGGCACGGATAGTACCATGCAGTGTTGTTAGATGAGCCCATCGACATCTAGAATGGACCGCTGATGGCAATGG